GAAGGCGAGCTGAGAAGCCCGTGTGTTAGCAGGTGTTGGGAGAATGACACAATTAGGGAAGTATTTGGGTCTGAGTTACTGCTAAGTACACAAGCAATAAAAACAGAGCTGTTCTGCCCAGGAAGACCATGGCGAGCAGGGCACAGCAGCCGTCGGCGCCCGGGCCTGACGTACATCTTGCTCCTGGCAGGGGTGGGGGGGGTAAAGGGGAGGGGCTAAGTGCCCTTGTCCTGCCATGCACATTTGGCACTGTCTGGAAACATCCCTGGGTGTCCCATCTGGGGGCAGGGGCTGCGGTGGGCATCTGAGCGGTAGGATTTCAGGGACAGTGCCCACCGACGACGAGAACTAGGAGGCCCGGAAGCGCAGGGAGCACTGTGTTAGCAGACAGTAAGCGTGAGCACCGAGTGGCACCAGTGGATGGGGCAACACAGAGGCGGGGCTCCATCCTGACGAACTCATGGACGTCGTCACGTACGACTGCGACACGTCAGAGTTCCCACCTCGCTGTGGCCTGGTGCCAGGCCTTGGTTCTTGCCAGCACCTGACTGTGGCTCCCTCCCCGTGTCAGGTGACACAGGGAGTGGCATGTCACTCTGCCGCGTGCCCGACTGCAGCTGTGGGTTGTGAAGTTCCCCTGCTCCGAGGCCTCTACTCCCCAGGGTCAGGGGACGCACACACACCCCTGTGCAGCATGCTGGGACTGCAGGCCAGGTTTCCTGCGGGACGCCAGCCCCTCGCCTGCTCCCAGGTCTGCGTGGAGGCCAGGGGTTGGAGACACTACAGCCAGCTGTTCCGCCATCCCTGCTGCATGTGGAAGGTGCCTGTCGCCAGCTCAGCTCCTCTGGTGGTGGGGGGGGGTGGGGGTGGTGGTCCCTGCAGGCATCGGGCTCACTCAGCTGGCATCACCTCCCGGTGTTGAGAGCTCTCCTGCACACCCGCTGCTAAGCCACAAACGCCCAAGGCCCCACAGCCCCTGGCTCTGCCCTGGCATAGGGCAGTGAGGGTGGGAGGGGGGTCAGGGCACCTCCATGCCACCTCACGTGGCCTCTGGTGGGCAGCTTGAGAAGCCTTTCCCGTGTCCAGGAAGGGGCCCAGGGAAGGGAGGCCATGGGGAGTGCAGGCTCGGGTCCTCTCTGGGCCTCGACTAGGCCCAAGGTGGGAGAAGACGGGGGCAGCTCCAGAGCCCTCATTCCTGATGCGACCTGTCCCAGAGCCTCACAGGCCACCTGCAGCCACCCTCCACACACTTCCCCGGACACCCCACGACCAGCCCCAGCCCTAGGGGTGAGGGAGCAGCGACAGAGCCCTTGGGGGCTGTGGTGGCCCCAGCAGCCACACACACACACACACACACACCCCCCACCTGGAGCTGCGATGTTCATGCAGAGGCTGGGACTGTGGCACAGCCAACTCATCCCAAGTCCCATCTCACTTCGTCCCGGCTGCTCCAACAGAAACCACAGAGCCGAGGGTTCAATGAGACCCAGGCTCCGGTCAGCTTCTGGTTGGCAGCCAGCTGCATCCTGCGTGGACCTCCGTTCCCAGGGCTCCTATGCAGGCCCGGCTCCTAGCACCATCATGGCGGGGGTGGGGGTGGGGGTGGGGGGCACTGTGGGGGGGCGCCGCAGGCCAAGGTGGTGGCTGGCAAGGTGCAGGCACATGGCTGGGTGTGAAGACACGGGAACCCCCACAGCAGGAGTCCAACAGTCTGAGACCCGGGAGTGCACTGGGTGGTGATCCTGAGGCTGTGTGTGTCCACAGTCACCCTCTGTGAGACACCTGTGGTGCTGGGGCAGCCGTGCAGGCGAGCCCACCCCCGCTCAGCCCCGCACACTCTCCTCCCAGTGCAGTCGCACCCTGAGCTCTAGGGCTGCGACAGTGCAGGGGCCTGGGCGGCGTAGCGCCATCTCTGACAGTGTCCAGGGCAGACATGATGTGTCAGCGGCGCACGGCGCAGGCTCCGGCCAGGCCCCAGGACTTGCTCTGATGGGCCCTGCGGTCAGTTACACACCCAGGGGATCAGTGGTCCACTCTAGAAAGAGCCACACGGGCAGTGGCCGGGATGGACTCTGCACTTGGCTGAGGCGGACCTGGCCAGCGTACGGTGTCGTGGTGTGCTCGCGTGTGCAGGCCTGAGGTCTGTCCCTCAGGCAGGAGATTTAGGGGCCCCTCCAGACCTCACATCCGTGTGTGCGGTGCACACGTGTGGTCCACAGATCCTGAAGAATGGTGACCAGCAGGGTGACCAGCCCCTCAGGCGGCGGCAGGTCCCCTGCCCGTTGCAGCACAGACTGGGCACAACGTTTCCCTCTCCTGGTTCAGGTGCACATGGTCCTAAAAGCTCAGACTACACGGGGTTCACCAGACTCCCCTGCCATTTCCCAAATGTCCCCAGATGAGTTTGAGAGCAGCACTGCACACAGTTCAGTCTGCCCCTCTCCCAGATTCCAAAACCAGCGACACCAGAGGCGGTGACCAGTCTCCGGAGCCTCAGAGCCAGGGAGGTGACACGGCCCCAGCACACAGCAGGAGGGGCTGCTTGGCTCCCAGCCAGCACCACCACACGGGAGTGGGAGGTCCAGCTTGCACTAGAAGCTCAAACTTAAGTGATGGAAGCCCCACGCAGGCAGGAGCTGGCCCTCGGCAACCCTGGACCTGCTCAGATGGAGCCCAAGCGGAACATTCTGGGATGGGGTTGGTGCTCCCCACGGTGGGCAGGCTGCACACGTGGTGTCCTGAGAAGGCCCCGCTGACCAGGCAGGCCTCTGCCCGCGAGCAACAGAGCTGGGACCCCACAGAGCTCGACTCGGCAGGGGCACTGGGCAATGCCTGGGCGCCAGGGACTCCCAATGCCATCTGTGCCGGGGAGGACGACATGGATGAGCCACTGGGCTTGGCACACGGCAGGACTCATCCAAGGCTGCCATGAGCGTGATGGACATCGAGGGACATTCACGACCCTGAGGACCCGGGCCAAACCCTGGGGGTCAGAGAATCGGAGGCCCAGGAAACGTGACTGCAAGCCCGGCTCCAGGCCAGCCCCTCGGGCCTCTTTGTCACCTGGCTTTCACGGAAGGCTGAGTGGCCCTGCTCTGGCCGCACACTCACGTGCAGTCCTGCACTGGCCTCCAGCTGCTGGGCGCAGTGCCCACAAGGAGGTCATGGGATGGACTCGCCTGTGGGAGCTGGGCTGGGAACAGAGCTTCTGCAGAAAGGATGGTGCCCCTCTCGAGAGCCAGCCTGGCCCTGGCAGGGCACCATGGGCAGGGCCGGGGCCACGTGGAACTGTGGACGTGGCACTGGGAAGTGAGCCCAGGTGACAGCTACAGAGCACAGTGGGCGGTGTCGGGGTCGTGTAGACCTCTCTACAAGGCTCCTACACGGCTCCTCTAGGCTCGAACTCACCATCAGCAACTAAAGCCCACCCCGCTTCCCCCAGAGGACACAGTGCCTGCCTGGGACACTTCAGGGGCAAAGGGCTCCGGCCTGGCACTCCCCAGGCACAGGGCAAACCTCTGTTCCCCCCATGGACAGACCCAGCCAGGCTACGGGGGGACAATGTCCAGCAAACAGGAACACACAGACCCAGGTTCTGGAGGATGAAGGCTCCAGCCCTTGGGCCCAAGGCTGTAAGGGCTGGAGGGCCTACAGAGGCAGTCCAAGGCCCAGCCCCTAGCCTCCCTCCTTGCTGCCAGAGCCCAGCTGCTCCAGTGACCAGCCCACACCGGCCACGTAGTCTGCACAGCACACCCCTAGCGAGTGGCATCACTGGGGAGCCCAGTCAACGCCAGGCCCGTGCGCTGTCCCCAGCCTCACACAGGGCAGCTCTATTCCACACGCCACCCGGCCACGCTGTGTCCTGGCAGCACGCCCTCTCTCACAAGCTTCCCGCACCTGCAGTGGCACCCGCAGTCCCAGCTGCTCAGGTCAGAAGCGAGTGCTGGCACCCCATTCCTGCCTTCCCTCCACCCCACGGGAGCCATCAGTGGGTCCTGTCCCCCCCGGCCCGTGCCTTCACGCTGCAACCTGGTCTCATAACCATCATCCCCACCACTGCCTGTCCCCAGCCACGCCCCTGGCTCCCCAATCCCACAGCCCACCACCCCCAGCCCCACGAGAAATGCAAGCTCTGGGAGATGGGCAGCCTCAGCGCTGAGGACAGAAACACGACATTGGTGGGGGAAGTTGGGGGGACAAAGGCTGAACCGCACCCCGTCACGGTTCTCTGGGGCTACTGGAGGGGAGATAGCCCACTGCCCGAGGCCCAGTGACACCGTGTGTCGGTCCGCGACAGCTCACCAGAGTACGGATTCCAGAGGCAGCAGCCTGGCCCCAGGGAGGCAGCTATAGGAGGGCACGGGGGCATCAGCTGTTGACAGCAGGTGCGGGAAGCAGCCTTGGCTTTGCCAGCGGGGGGTGCGCCTGGGCACAGGTGTGCACCACCACTGCAGCTGGGGGCGGGGTGTCCACTGGGCGAAGCAACGCAGCCAAGGCTCTGGCGCTGGAAGCCCCGCCCCGCACTGTGCATTCACGCATATTTCTGTGCCAGGCTAGCCAGGGGAGGGAGCAGGTTCCTGAAGGAGCCAAGAGCCCTCGAGCACTGAGGCGGTGCCTGTGTCTCAGAGGTGCCAGGAGCTCAGGCCTCCGGCAGAGGCGGGGGCCTGGGGGAGGGGCGCCTAAGTGCACGCACGTTCCCAAGACTCCCGGGAGAGAGATTCAGCGCCGGCTTCCTCTTCCTGCGAGAATGCAGGGCAGGAGCCTGCAGCACGTGGCTGGTAGCTGAGAAGCGCTCGGCCCGCCCAGGTTAGAGGCCAGCGTGTCCACCGGCCGGTCAGGTGGCCAGTGACGGGCTGCAGGAACCCCAGCCTCCCTAGCACAGCTAAGGGACCCCCACAGCCCATGGGACAGGAATCTGGTTCCCCCAAAGCACCTCCGCCTCCAGACGCTCCCTCCCACCCAGGCCAGCCCCTGGTCACGGACGCCCTGTGTCCCCACAGGTCAACAGTGAGAATGTCGTCAAGGTTGGCCACAGGCAGGTAGTGAACATGATCCGTCAAGGAGGGAACCACCTGGTCCTCAAGGTGGTCACAGTGACCAGGAGCCTGGACCCCGACGACACGGCCAGGAAGAAAGGTGTGGAGCGGGTGGGGTGGGGTGAGGGTGGGGGCAGGGGGGGGGGGGGGTGGGGGCCCCAGCACGGGGCCAGGCCGGCATTTGTCACCTGGGCCTCTGTCGGCAGGGGCCCTGGGTCCTGGGGAGGCTGCAGTAGGCCGGAGGCGCCCCTGCTCCCGGGGCTGTGCCATCTGGAAGCCCAGGGCGGGTGGGCTTCAGAGCTGGCTGACGCCCTTCCCGGTCTGCCCCGCAGCTCCCCCCCCTCCAAAGCGAGCCCCGACCACGGCCCTCACCCTGCGCTCCAAGTCCATGACCTCGGAGCTGGAGGAGCTCGGTAAGCATCACCCATCTCACCCGCCCCCACCCACGTGTCCCCTGAATGCCGGAGCCCCCTCCCTGGCCCTGCATGGTGGGAGACTCCCATGCCGACGCCTCCATCGCGAGCCCTGGGGTGCCAAGTCCTTTCTGTGTATCTAATACTGTTTTGTTTTGCATTTTTGGGCCTCTCACTAGTGGATAAAGGTAAGCCGCCCCCACAGGGCCCCGCGGCAGCTCCCCCGCTGTCTAGGGTGCTCCCGCTGACTGCCTCGGGGCCGCCGCCTCCACGGCGGTCGGCTTGCACCTGTGTGGTCTGTGTATCGGGTTCAGGGGTCCCCAGCACCCTCTTAAAAGGTCAGTGAGGAACACTCAGGCTGGCCGAGCCAGTCCTGTAGCTGGGGAAGAGGTGACATGGGTGTGGCCTAGGAGCCCGGGTCGCAGATGGCGCTGAGCGGCCAGGAGGGCTGGCGAGCGTAGTCACCAACACAGGAGCGAGCGGCCCGCGGGCCCCACTGGTCACACCCGGCTGCCCCGGGGAGGAACACACAGGCTGCCCCTGCTCCCGGCCCCCGGCCCCGAGGCTGAACCACCCGTCACAGAGGCCTGGGCCAGGAGTCGGTGTTCAGCGTGAGCCTGGGTCTTCTGCGTGAGGACAGTCCTGTGCCCACAGCCAGGAGTGTCCTCGGGTCTCCTTCCACCCTGCCCTGCCCAAACGTGACCAGCGGGAGACCTGTCCCCCCTTCCCCATGCCCCATGCCTGCGGGCAAGCAGGGACCGTGAATCGCCACACATTCTCTCCAACGAGGCAGCCGGCACCAGGCTGCCCGGGCGCTGGGAGAGGGACCAGAGGAGTGAGCGGCAGCCAGGCAGGCGCACCGAGCCCTCGGCGTCCTGCAGCCCCTGTGGAACTGGCTTCCTACTCTGCAGGGTGCTGGGGCTGCTGGCTGAGGAGAGCCCCGTGGCCCGGAAGTGGTCCCCCGCGGGGCAGACAGGAAGCAGCAGCCCAGGCACCAGGGCTGGGGGACCCCTCCTAAGCCCCACTCCTGGGTCTGGACCCGTCTGTAAGGCCACCCCGAGCTGAGCGAGGCCCCAGAGGCGGCTGTGGGGCCCCCGCCTCCAGTGGCTCACAGCTCCCCTTTCTGTTTGCAAGCCTCGGTCCGGAAGAAGAAGGGTAAGGGAAGCCGAGTGTCTCCGGTCCCCTTGCCCATCACACCCTGGTGGAAAAGAAACCCCTGTGACCGTCCCGTGATGTCCAGAACGTGCTGTGAGCCTGTGTTGTCTTCTCCCTGTTCCAGGTTCTGCCCGAGGGCCCTGCCCTGGGACAGGCCCAGCTCAGTCTGTCCCGTCTGCCTGGCGTCTCCTGTGTGTGTCTGTTTCTCCCCTGAGCTGTGTTCACATGGTCATGGCCGTTCGGCCCCCCAGGACCCCTGCGTGGCCATGGCTGGGCCTACCTCCGCTAGGCGAGGGCCCAGCTGTCTCTGAGGTCCCGTGAGGGCCTGAGTCCTGTGGAGCCACCTGGCTGGGGGTGCAAGCAGTGGAGCCCTGGCCGCACCCCTGGCCTGTGATCCCCTCTGCAGGCCCAGAACTTTAAGGGGGCCGCTGCTGGGAGGTGGGAGGGGGTGTCCTCGTGGCTGGGCTGCTCCTTCAGGGGCAGCATCCACATCTCGGGCTCAATGGCTGGGGGAGGCAGCCACCTCAGTAACACAGAGAGCACTCAAACCACTCCCCTCCCAGCAGGGAGGGGCCCCCGAACTCTAAGCCCTGGAAGAGGGGCAGGTGCTGGAGACCAGCAGAGGTACCACCGCCTCCCAGCCGCCCCGTGGACCGAGCCCCATGTGGTGGACGGGGCAGAGGCCCAGGAACAGAACGCCCCCCCCGCTCCCTGAGGGCTGCATTTCTACAGGAAGCAGGCCCCTCTCCTCTTCACACCGCCCTAAATCTCCGCGGTCAACAGGTGCCTGGTGGGCACCTGCCCGGTGTCCCTCTCAGACTGACAGATGACAGACGCCTTGGCATGTGTGGCCAGGGTCAGGCCCAGAGCAGACAGCAGGACGGGAGGGTGGGGAGCCACCCCTCATTTGCACAGCTGGCGCTGGCTGCAAATCAGATTGAATGCCCGCTGCACCCCTAGTGAGGGGGGGAGGCGGGGCTGTGGGCAGAGAATTCCAGAGGAGGAGCCAGCAGGGAGACTTCTGCCAGCTCAGTCTCAGCTCCCCGCCCAGCCAGGGGCGCTGTGGTCCCCGCCTGTCGGCTGGGCGCATCACTGGGGACTATACCTGTTGCATGCTTGGCACACGGCAGGTGCACAGTGAAGGCTCGGCCTCCAGTCTGAGGGAGAGGCCTGGCCTGACCCCGGGACAAGCACCCCCACTGCAGACAGAGCAGGCCTCCACAGTCGTCCCCAAGTTCTCATCCACCCAGAAGCTGTCGAGGACTGGGGACAGTCATTGATGAGGTCATGATGAGGTCACGTGACGAGGGTTACAGGAGGAGGAGGAGGAACAAGCCAAGGAGCATGGCCATGTGGCAGCCAGCAGGGGCCCTGCCCACACCCGGATCTGCCTGCCATGCGCCCCAGAATGCTGGAAGGGTGCGCTTGCTGCTTTATGCCCCCGGGGACCACACACAGCAGCATAGCCCTAAGTCCTCACTGCCCGGCCAGCGACACCAAGTTTTCACCCACAGAGCCTGACCAGGCGCCTGTCCCAGGGGAGGAGATGGCTGGCCTGGGAGGAAGACGACAAATGGGGCGGGTGTCTGTCCCAGGCCCACAGAGGGGAGCCTGGCCTTCAATTCCTGCTGGCGCCTCTGGCTGCACCCTCAGGCCCCACCCTTGGGAATAGGTGAGCCATCAACAGAGGTCCAGGCCACGTTCCCCACTCCTGCTGACCTCTGGGAAGACGCCATCATGTGGGGGGCCGGGGCCCCCTGGAGGCACAGCCCCCGGGGCCTGGGTTCGCAGAGTGCGGAGCAGCGGCCGACGACCGGGGCTCCTGACCCGTGCGGGTGACAGGAAGCACTTCACTGCTCTAGGTTTGAGAAGCTCAAGTGCAGCCTCACCAGCCCCTCCCCATCATCTGGCGGGGGAGCTCCCCCAAGGAGGACCTGGCGGGCCGTGGGCCAGCTGCGTCAGCACCTCACACGTGGCCACAGGCAAGCAAGTCACAGCAGGCTGGAGCTGGACTCGCTGCCGTGGGCTCCTGCCGTCTACCTGGAGAACCAAGAGCGCCAGCCAGCGGGCTCCCTGGCGGCCATCGGTGCCCGTGTCACCCTGGACCTCCTTCCCTGGCCTTGGGCTTTGGACTTGGAGCAGTGCCGTCCCAGCAAACCCACCGCGTCCAGCTCAGTGAGCCCGAGGAGCACCGAGGAGCACCGAGGGGCGCGCCGGTCCCTCTGGGAGGAAGACGGAGCTCACAGCTCTCTGCTCCCGCTGGCGGCTGGGGGCTGGGCCCGGCTGCAGCCCTGGGAAGCGTGGCCCCCACAACCTCCGCGTGCTCTCCGTGTACCCATGCCAAGAAGCTGGCAACACGCTGGGCTTCCAAGCACGGGGGTGGGCCCAGGGAATGAAGCCTGAGGCCCCTGCCAGCACGTTGACCGGCGTCCCCACCGAGTTGGTTGTTAAGGCAGTTTTCTGATTGGGTTGCAGGTGTGCAGTGACCACGGGCCTCATCTTACCACCGCAGGGGGCTGGAGTCACCAGTCCCCTTCATCTGGGGCCTGTGAATAGACCCAAGTCTGCCTTGCACAAATTAAGCATGATCCTTACGAGCCCAGAGCAAGCAGCCTTTCTGGGCAGCTTTGTGTCCAGTAAATGAGATACAAGGCGGCAGCAGCAGGCTCCAGCCGGGCCAGGAGGGACACTGCGCCGTGCAGGGGCGGTACAGTCCTCCCTCTCCCCGGGACCTCACCTCGCCAACAGACCACGCGGCTCTCACGAGTTCTGGATCAACAAGCTTTGGGCCAGGGGAGGGGCAGGAGGGAAAGTTCACACCCGCGGCAGCTGCGGCCCTCGGTGTGTGGAGACCGTCACCCAGAGCAGGCAGGCGGTGCTGACGGCAACCACCGCAGTGTCCAAGTGGGTTTCACTGCTGGAGCCCAGCAGGGCTGGACAGCCTCTGGACAGCGGGCATAAGGTGACCCCAGGGTGAGTCAAACTCCCACCCGCATGGCCTCAGATCCTGCAGCCACAGTCCCGCTGGAAGGACAAACAGGTTGGAGACCTGAGGTTTCCCAACAGGGTCAGCGGCTGCCGTGCTCCGACCCTGACGCCTTTGCCCCACCCCCAGCACACCCTGCATTTGAGGGGTGTTTTCAGGGTGCCTGCCACAGGCCGGCAGTCCTGAGCACACAGCCTGTGACCTAGGACCGCACGCAGCAGGGGTTTGGCCTGAGGGTGGAAGGAACCAGCCCCATCAGCCCTGGCTCTGTTGACATCCATGGGACAAACCCCCTGGCCCCCAGAAGGGCCCAGCCTGGCTCCTCCACCCCTCACCCCAGAGGTGGCCAGACACAGCTGCCACTGCCGTCTCTCGCCTGCCAGTCCAGCCCCGGCCACTCAACAGCCACTGAGCATCACAGCCCAGAGGTCAAGCGAGGACAGACGTGTCGGTGTCCCCTGGCTCTCGGGACCTCCCTGCACGTCCCCTGCCCAAGCACTGCAGGACGAGCGCCCTGGGCACAGCAGCCACGTGGCCTTGTGGTCACTGCCCCTGGGAGCGCCCTGACGACAAGCTGGGCCGGCTTGTCTTCAGTGCCAGCCCTAGGGCTGCACAGCGGCTTCAGCGCCCTCACAGAAGACAGCAGCCACATCTCGGTGGAAGCAAAGCCCAGCCAGCACTGCAAAGGGCCCAGAGCCCAGGGTCAGACCAGGCTGGACCAGGTGCCGCGGCCGGCCTGCCAGAGCATCAGCGGAGCGCACACTGAGAAGGCCAAGGCTCGCGTCAGGAGCAGCGATGTCTGGCCGACGGGGGCAGTGTGTGGGGCACACCCCGCGGAAGAAGACAGTTCCTGGGGTCCTGGCAGCACGGCAGAGCCAAGAGATGAGAAAAAAGACTCCGGCAGGGGGACACAGGAGACTGCAGCTGGGGTCTCTGCTGTGTCTCATGGACCCCCCCCCGGGGGGGGGCAGCTGCTCCCCTTGAGGCGGGTGAAATGCCCTCCAAGGAGGCGGCACCGGCAAAGTCAAGAGCCAGGAGGGCATGGCCAGGGGACAGGGGAGGGGCACGTGTGCCATGAGCAAGGGCCTCAAATACAGGGTAAAGGACCCATTTCCAGCGAATTCCTTGTAAACGGGAACGAGGGTGCGGAGGGGCCAGGCGGTGGTCAGTACATGGCCTTGGCAGGCCCCACGGTTGCTGCCGCACACATTCCGTCCTGTCCTTGCCTCCAAGACACGGCTACGAGAATGTGGGGCCACACAGGAGCAGCTGGCTCTGGTCTGGAATCACCCATCTCCAACCCCACGTGGCTGCTGCCGGGCCCTCCGGGCTAGGAGAGACGAAGGCGAGCTGGGGCCTTTGCTGGCACATCCGTCACTCTTGAGGAGCCCCGGCTTGGAAGCGGCTTCCAGGGTGTCTCCAGGAGCACCGAGGGCCGCTGTGCACTGCACTCGGCCAGGCCCCAGGAGTGCATTCGCCTACCCAAGAGGAAGCCGAGGCCTGTAGACCCCACCAAGTGACCTGCTGCTTCTGGTGGGCACGGCCACCCAGGCACAGGCCTGGGCTTGGCCGGTGCCTCTGCCAGGCGCACCAGGGCCCTGAAGGTGGATCGGGCTGGGCTCTGTGGACAGGGCTCTGCCTCTTCAGAGCCCCACTGGCCCGCAGGCCTGCCCTAAGGCACCCCACAGTTCTGGAATGTGCTGCACTTTCTTTAGTTTCTAAAGATCACATAACTAATGGCTTTCTTAAAATAAAAGGCCGGGGGTGAGATCCTATTAGTACAATCACAGGGCACCCACACTTCCTGTGCTGGGGCCTCAGGTCTTGGCCACTATATTTGTCTACAAAAGAACCACAATTCTGAGTCTGTTAAAAAATTCTGCAGGTCCAATCAGTCCACACCACCAGGAGCCACTCGCTCCCACTAGTAGAACAGGCAGGCGGGCGCCATGCTGCAGCAGCTTAGGCCGCTGCTGGCCACGCTGGTATCTCCGGCTGCTGTTCTGGGCCTGCTCCAGCCCCAGTCCTTGTGGCCCTTTGGACAGTGGACGAGTGGATGGAAGATATCTGTGTGTCTCCCTCTCTGTCACTCTGAAAAAAACGTGGCTCAAGGAGCTCCAGGGCCCTCCGTGAGCTGAGCGGCTGAGGGTCTCCTACCCAGTCTGTGCCTGCGTGAGATCTGGGGAAACACATGGCAGGGTGGCGTGAGCCTGCGGCCCGACTTGGGGACAGGACGGCGCAGCACTTGCGCGTGTCGGAGCTTCCCCAACCAGCTTGTGATATTGCAGATAAGCCTGACGAGATCGTGCCGGCCGCCAAGCCCTCCCGAACTGCCGAGAGTGTGGCCGTGGAGTCCAGGGTGGCGACCATCAAGCAGCGGCCCACCAGCCGGTGCTTCCCTGCCCTCTCGGACATGAACGTGAGTGGCTGCGCCCCCGGGGACTGCCCAGAGACGGGTGGGACGACCAGCAGGGCTCCCCACGCTGCCTGACACGGGGCCTAGAGGACATAGGCCCTGGTTCAAGGCAGACCTGCAGTGGGGACAGAAACGAGGCTGGAGCCCAAGCCATGGGTTCACCACACAGTTCTGGCGCTGGGCCTGCCGGAGGCCTCACGAGCCCATGTGTGCAGAGGCTCCCAGCTGCTCGTTCGCCCAGGGGCAGCAGAAGCCACGTAAGCAGGGACCTCCGCCCTGGCCCTGGTGAACACCTGGGTTCTGGACCAGCGTCCTCTATTCGGGCTTCAGAGCACGCTGCGGGCAGCAGACCCGGCTCAGAGCAGGCACCCTCGCTGTGTCCTGGGCAGTCAGGAGGGACCTCAGCCCAGGAAGGCTGGGGGCAGGCCAAGGCACCGGCGGCCCTGCAGCCATGGGCTGCTCCTCCCTGTCCGACACACAGCCACCCACGCCAGACCCACGGACTGTTCTGATTGCTGTTTTCTTTCGGTCAATTCCCCTGACTCACTGAGTCTAGACTGTAACACCCATAAATATCATCAGGGTGGTAGGCTCCACGGGAGGGTGTGCACCAGGACCAACACTCCCTCGCATCTGAGGTACACAGCCGGGCCTCCCTGGCCTGGCCGCCTCCTCGTCCCCACCCCGTCCCAGATGTCAGCATCCAGCTCGCTCCCCCAGCCTCAGGGGAGCACCCCGTGGTCTCACACATGGACCCATTTCCATAGAGCGTCTGACGTCTCCCCGAGGCCTCCAACACTGGGGCAGCCAGCACCTACAGGTCTGCAGAGGGCAGCAGTGTGGAGCAGCCTAGGGCTGGTCACCAAGGAATCCATTTTCAAAGTGAGGAGAGGCCTCCAGCCCCACCCAGGGCAGGCCGAGGGAGGAAGGCAGGGACAGCCCCTGCCACGGGAGCCCTGTGTTCCAGAGTGGTCCCAAGGCTTGCCCGAGCTGACCAGCCAGCACACCTGCCCACGTGGCAGCCGGCACCTGGTTCACCTCTGCACACACCATGAGCGCCTGTCATTAGCTCGTGTTGTGCATGAGGGAGACTGCTGGCCCACCCAGACCCCATCGCCGCCGCCCTGCTCTGTGCCACAGCACACCGTCCCGGCCCTGTTCTCTGACAAGTGTGTCCAGAATGTGGTGAGCAGCATCGCAGCACAACGTGGCCCCCAGAGCAGGGCCAGACCCTGAAAGAGCAGACGGGGGCAGCCACGTGTCGGGGGCAGCCTCACCGGCGACGTCCCAGGACTCCTGGAAGCAGCAGGGGAAGCGCCAGCAGCAGGGATCCACTGTGCCGACAGTCCTCCACCCCCGGGCCCCTCTGCCGCGGGGGGCGCCGGCCAGGCCGCACTTCACCAGGGCTCTCTGGTTTGCAGTCCGTGTACGAGCGCCAAGGCATTGCTGTGATGACGCCCACCGTTCCTGGGAGCCCAAAAGGCCCGTTTCTGGGTCTCCCTCGAGGTACGATGCGAAGGCAGAAATCCATAGGTAAGAAGCTGACCCTCGCCTGCACAGGCTGCTCTTGGCTCTGCAGCGCAGCCCAGGGCCCCGGGGGAGTGCTGGCTACTGGGTCCCCTTGGTTGCTTTGGCACCCACACCCTAATATCTGCCCGCCAGGCCCACCCACCAGGGAGCAGAGACCTGGCCTCGCCCACCAGGCGGCCACTTATTCAGACGGTGGGGTAGTGTGAAGCTTTTCCACCCCTGACACGTGCGAAACCACGCCGACTTCTCCCACTCTGAAGCCAGTGGTCTGTGATAAACCAGCAAGGCTGAGGGGTGCATGCAGAAGGAGGTGGGCAGTGGACAGCGGGTGGCCCAGGCCCCTCTCCTCTCCCTGCCCTGCACGCTCAGGGCTGGCTGGGGCGCAGGGCGCCCGTTGGCGGGTTGCTGCCCTCTTTTTAGGATGAGCTCCAAGGACAAACCTCTGAGGGTGGCTGGGTCAGAGCCCCGTGTGTTGCAGCAAACTACCTCCCTTCCTTGTGAGCGCCCCACTTGCTCCACTACCGTCACAGGCAAAGGCAAACGGGTCCCTCTGTGAAATAACCCAGCGCTGGGTGCCGAGGCCACCACTAGACACTGGTGGACCCTTGCCATTTATAGAGAGCTTAGCCCTGGCCCGTCCCCAGGGACACCCTTCAGCCTGCTCAGGAAGCCCCGCCCCGCAGTGCTGTTGGAGGTGTGGCTTGCAGCAGGAAGTAATCAAACAATAAAGGGCCGAGGGTGCCGCGGAGTGCCCGTCAGCAAGCCAGGGCCCATGGCAGAGGTGCACATGCGCCGTGTTCTAACACTGCTCCCGTCCTGGTTAATGACGATTGATTTCCTCCTGTCAGACAGCAGGCTCTTTCTATCAGGTTGGTGAACCCTGCACTTCAGAATCTGTCGCTTGAATGTGACCCAGTTTACGCTGTAAGGTGTATTCTTAAATTATTACTCCTTGGGCATGCAGCAAACGGCCAATAAGGAACGCACCAGACAGCCAGTCTGCGATGTCAGAGTGCCCTCCCACAGGAGTATATTAAATTTGGAATACCCCTATCCAATGGGACTTTCCATTGGAGTAAACTCTCGCAGTCTGTCCTAAGCCATTCGTTCTGCTGCCTCCCTGACAACCCCGCACGCCCCCCAGCGGGAGTGTGTGCTGTGCCGCGTGCCTTCTGGGTGCACTCTGCCCATGCCCGAACCTGTGCTGAGCCATCCGGGGGTGTCGGCTGCACCCCACACTCACAAACCCTGCCTGCTGCGCCCACACCAGTCCCAGCACTTCCACGACCCCCAGGAAGCGCTCCCCACGTCCCATCAGTGGCACACTGGCTCACAACCCTGCTGCAAACCTGGGGTGGAACTCTGGTTAAAGAAGGGCCTCAGCTCCCTCCCCTCATGGGGGTGCTCCACTGAGCTGGCCCCATCGCAGCCCTGCTGATGGCCGGAGCCGCCAGCACGGCCGAGAGGAGCAGGCCCAGGGTGACACCAGCACCTCCTCGTGGGGCAGAGCAGGCCGTCCCACGTATCCAGCCAGGAGCCTGGGCAGCTGGGCAGCTGGGCACTGCATGCTGTCTGTGCCACGTGTGCACCCCCGGTGCCTTCTGCCCTCACCACAGACGGAAGGGGCATGGATGGCCGGCTGCTGGTCCAGTCAGCACTGTCCCCTGCCCCAACAAAAGCAGCCATGCACACACGTGCGGGGACAGCCCCAAGGCCTTGCGCACTCAGGGTTCTGGGTCCCAGGCCCCCGTGGCCCTGACGACACCACGGCGAGCCCCACCAACACCGGGCACAGCACATGCTCCCGGCACCCTGCGCCTCCTGGCTGTCCTTTACAGACCTCTGGCTCAGAAGGGCCTCGCGGCACTGTGGCTTGCGCGGTTCATGCCTGGCCTGTGTGTGTGTCTGCGGGGACGCAGGCTGCGCTGCACGCTCGGAGCTGACGGGGTCCTGGTTGTGGCCGTGGCACAAAACGCAGCATATTTCCTCCCTGCAGGGATAACGGAGGAGGAGCGGCAGTTCCTGGCCCCCCCGATGCTCAAGTTCACGAGGAGCCTGTCCATGCCTGACACCTCTGAGGACATCCCCCCACCACCCCAGGCCGTGCCCCCATCTCCACCGCCACCCTCCCCCACCACCTACAACTGCCCCAAGTCCCCAAGCCCCAGGGTCTATGGGACAGTCAAGCCCGCGTTCAGTCAGAACCCCGCCGCCAAGGTATCCCCGGCCATGAGGTCGGACACGGTGGCCACCGTGATGCGGGACAAGGGGCTCTTCTACCGCCGAGAGCTGGACCGCTACTCCCTGGACTCGGAGGACATGTACGGCCGCAACGCCAGCCCCCAGGCCAACTTCCGCAACAAGCGGGGTCAGATGCCCGAGAACCCGTACTCGGAGGTGGGGAAGATCGCCAGCAAAGCCGTCTACGTGCCCGCCAAGCCTGCCAGGCGGAAGGGGATGCTGGTGAAGCAGTCCAACGTGGAGGACAGCCCCGAGAAGACATGCTCCATCCCCATCCCCACCATCATCGTCAAGGAGCCTTCCACCAGCAGCAGCGGCAAGAGCAGTCAGGGCAGCAGCATGGAGATCGAGCCCCAGGCCGCGGAGCCGCCGGGCCAGCTGCGGCCGGACGACAGCCTGACCGTCAGCAGCCCCTTCGCTGCCGCCATTGCCGGGGCCGTCCGAGACCGGGAGAAGCGGCTGGAGGCCAGGAGGAACTCCCCGGCCTTCCTCTCCACGGACCTGGGGGATGAGGACGTGGGCCTGGGGCTCCCCGCCCCCAGGATTCAGCCCCCCGAGTTCCCAGAGGAGGGCGACTTTGGCGATGAGGATGGCGCCGAGGAGCTGGTGTTGCCCACGCCAGGAGCAGCGCCCAGGGAGCCCGAGAATCACTTTGTGGGTGGTGGCGAAGCCAGCGCTCAGGGTGAGGCCGGGAGGCCCCTCAATGCCACATCCAAAGCCAAGGGGCCCGAGGGCAGCCCCACAGCCGGCCCAGAGAATTACGTCCACCCGCTCACGGGCCGGCTGCTGGACCCCAGCTCCCCGCTGGCCCTGGCGCTCTCAGCCCGGGACCGAGCCATTAAGGAGTCCCAGCAGGGCCCCAAGGGGGAGGCCGCCAAGGCCGACCTCAACAAACCTCTCTACATCGATACCAAAATGCGGCCCAGTGCGGAAGCCGGCTTCCCCCCGGTCACCAGGCAGAACACCCGGGGGCCCCTGCGGCGGCAGGAGACAGAGAACAAGTACGAGAGCGACGCAGGCAAGGACCGGCGAGGCGACGGCATGAAGAACACGCTCATCGACATCGTGGACACGGCGCAGCGCAAGCCGGCCGGCCTGCTGATGGTGCACACCGTGGACACCACAGAGGCCGACGGCTCCCTGGAGGAAGAGGACGAGCACGCGGGCCTGGAGCTGAAGCCAGACAGCTCACTGGCCGAGGTGCCAGAAGGCACTGCCGAACCCGAAGGTGCTTTACAGATCTCCGCCGCCCCCGAGCCCACCGCCACGCCCGGCAGGACCATCGTGCCGGCGGGCTCCATGGAAGAGGCGGTGATTTTGCCATTCCGCATCCCCCCTCCCCCTCTGGCATCTGTGGACTTGGATGAGGAGTTTATTTTTACAGAGCCATTGCCTCCTCCCCTGGAATTTGCCAACAGTTTTGATATCCCCGATGACCGCGTTGCTTCCGTGCCCGCTCTCACAGACTTGGTCAAGCCGAAGAGAAACGACACCCCTCCGTCCCCTTCGCTGACCTCCGCCCAGCCGATCAACCCTGCCGACACTAAGAAGCCGGCTGGCCTTTCAAACTGCCTGCCCGCCCCATTCCTGCCGCCCCCCGAGAGCCTCGATGCTGTCGCCGACTCGGGCATCGAGGAGGTAGACAGCCGGAGCGGCAGCGACCACCACCTCGAGACGACCAGCACCATGTCCACGGTGTCCAGCATCTCCACCCTGTCCTCTGAGGGCGGGGAGAGCGCGGACACCTGCACGGTCTATGCAGACGGGCAAGCCTTTGGGGCTGACAAACCCCCAGTACCTCCGAAGCCAAAAATGAAGCCCATAATTCCCAAGAGCAATGCACTTTACCAAGACGCGCTCGTCGAGGAGGACGTGGACAGCTTTGTGCTCCCCCCACCCGCGCCCCCGCCCCCGCCAGGAGGAGTCCCGCCTGGGATGGCCAAAGTCCTCCAGCCGAGGACCTCCAAGTTGTGGGGCGATGTCACGGAGGTCAAGGGCCCGATCCTCTCGGGCCCCAAGGCAAACGTTATTAGTGAATTGAACTCAATCCTGCAGCAAATGAACCGAGAGAAATCGGTGAAGCCAGGGGAAGGCCTGGACTTGCCGGCCGGAGCCAAGTCCGCCAGCCTCGCTCCCAGGTAAGTCCCACGGTTGGCTTAGGTGCTCGCGGTCTGTGCTGACCAAGTGGACGTGAAGAGGGCACTCGTGACACCCTCGTGTCGGCCACACGTGCTCCTTTCTCCTCCTCCTGGACCCCAGGACCGCACAGCCAAGGCCATGTCCACTCTGCAGACTCTGCCAAGACCACCTCGGAGGCCATTAGGGCCTCACCAAGGCCCAGACAGGACTTCAAGCTACTTTCATGAGAGCAGCCACGCAGCTGGGGTGGGGCGTGGGGCGTTGCCGCCGTCTGGGACAGAGGCTCTGGGCTGGGGTTTCTCCTGTCGGCCTGTCCCATCCAGGAGCAGGCGCTGGCAGTACTGGGCAGGGTATGAGTTACCCGCAGCACCATGAAGGTGAAGTGAGGGGTCATGGTCAAGACCCGGCCGGGGGGCTCAGGGTGAGTGTGCTCCGGGAGGGGCACCACCACGGCTGCACGGAGTCCGTGGGCTCCCTCGTGGCTGCTGGTTTTCGGTGCCCTGCACCCACCCGGCGCTTGCTCTCGGGTCTCTGTGTTGTGACTCCTGCAGTCCACCTTCATCCTCCCGGTTTCCTTCCAGCATGGGGGAGGACAGCTCCCGTGGGTCCTCAGAGGCACGCTGACTGCATGCCGCTGCCCACACGGCTCCTGCCGCTGCCCGGCCTTCAGATGGCAGCTCCAGGTAGAGAAGCTCCTGCTCCTGGTGGGTGCGTAGTACCCACCCACAGATACAGCACACTCGGCGACCACAGGGCAATCACAGCCAGCTCGCACGGGCCTTCCCACCGAGCTGCCACTGTCACTCACGGCTTCACATGGAAAGCCGCAGGGCCAAGTCCACAACAGCCAGGGAGCAGGGCAAAGTGAGGCAGGGCCCCTGCACCCACTTTGTAGACGGCTCGGTGGTCACCCACACGCACAGCCAGCAGGAGCCCATGTTCCTGGCTCTCACTTCCCTCCGCTGGTGAGGTCTATGCCAAGGAAGGAGCTAAAAAGGGACAGTAGTGGGGCCTGCAGATGCCTCATTGTTCAGGTTCCCAGTCCACAGCATGTCCACCCAGCAAGTGGAGGGGCTGTGTCCACGGGGGGCACTGAATGGCAGCTGGACAACTCAGGGAAGGTGGGCTTCCAGCCTTCAGTGTCTTGGGGACCGCCTGCCCTGCCCTACGTTCCTCCAGGTAACCAGCACAGGGTGGAGCCTGGGGCACACATCACCTGGCAGGCTGTAGTGGGTTTCTTGAAGCAGCTGGGTGGCCACCCCTGACCAATGCTTGACCATCCAGAATAGCCAAGCACTGACTGGTCATTTACAACCAACTCGCCCACCCCAGATGTGGTGTCGTCCCGGGCCCCCCCTTGCAGCCCAGGTGAGCCAGCTAGTCAAGAGTGCTTGCATGAAAGGTACAGAGCGCCACCGCCCACCAAGCAAGCTGCTCAGGGACGGCCTCAGAGAAGGGCCAGTCGGCGAACAGCCACCGGGCAGAGGCACTGCAGGGCCGCCGTCGGGTCCCAGAACCAGCCTGGGCCAGGCCGAGCCCAGCGTCCAGGCCCTTTGGTTGTCCTGTGGCTGATACTACGTGCTTACCACTCAGCTGAGCAGCTGCAGGCCATGTTCTTCTCACTCAAACCCAGGGGGACGCACAGAGCTGGACCAGGGACAGATGGCCCTGAGGCCCATGGCAGAGGTCACTCATCTCAGACAGTAAGTTGGGTGCTCAGTTCTTACCCATGCTTTGATCCTCTGACCCAATCAGGCCAAGTGCTGGGGGTGGGAGCTACAGCCTCCAGACAGGGACAAGAACAGGCAGGCACGAGGTCAGAGCACTGGGGCATGGGAGCTACAGCCTCTAGACGTGGACGAGAACAGGCCGGCACGAGGTCGGAGTGCTGGGGTGTGGGAGCTACAGCCTCTAGACATGGACGAGAACAGGCCGGCATGAGGTCGGAGTGCTGAGGCGTGGGAGCTACAGCCTCTAGACATGGACGAGAACAGGCCAGCACGAGGTCAGAGTGCTGGGCATGGGAGCTACAGCCTCTAGACACGGACGAGAACAGGCCGGCACGAGGTCAGAGTGCTGCGGCACGGGAGCTACAGCCTCTAGACACGGACGAGAACAGGCCGGCACGAGGTCAGAGTGCTGCGGCACGGGAGCTACAGCCTCTAGACATGGACGAGAACAGGCCGGCACGAGGTCGGAGTGCTGGGGCACGGGAGTTACAGCCTCTAGACGCGGACGAGAAGAGGCCGGCACGAGGTCGGAGTGCTGGGGCACGGGAGCTACAGCCTCTAGACGTGGACGAGAACAGGCCAGCACGAGGTCAGAGTGCTGGGCATGGGAGCTACAGCCTGTAGACGCGGACGAGAACAGGCCGGCACGAGGTCGGAGTGCTGGGGGTGGGAGCTACAGCCTCTAGACACGGACGAGAAAAGGCCGGCATGAGGTCAGAGTGCTGGGGGTGGGAGCTACAGCCTCTAGACACGCGGACGAGAACAGGCCGGCACGAGGTCAGAGTGCTGGGGATGGGAGCTACAGCCTCTCGACGCGGACGAGAACAGGCCGGCATGAGGATCCTACATAGTGCTGGGGCGTGGGAGCTACAGCCTCTAGACACGGACGAGAACAGGCCGGCACAAGGTCAGAGTGCTGGGGCGTGGGAGCTACAGCCTCTAGACACGGACGAGAACAGGCCGGCACGAGGTCAGAGTGCTGGGGGTGGGAGCTACAGCCTCTAGACACGGACGAGAACAGGCCGGCACGAGGATCCTACATAGTGCTGGGGTGTGGGAGCTACAGCCTCTAGACGTGGACGAGAACAGGCCGGCACGAGGTCAGAGTGCTGAGGCGTGGGAGCTACAGCCTCTAGACACGGACGAGAACAGGCCGGCATGAGGTCAGAGTGCTGGGCGTGGGAGCTACAGCCTCTAGACATGGACGAGAACAGGCCGGCACGAGGTCAGAGTGCTGAGGCGTGGGAGCTACAGCCTCTCGACGCGGACGAGAACAGGCCGGCACGAGGTCGGAGTGCTGGGGCGTGGGAGCTACAGCCTCTAGACGCGGACGAGAACAGGCCAGCACGAGGTCGGAGTGCTGGGGCGTGGGAGATACAGCCTCTAGACATGGACGAGAACAGGCCGGCATGAGGTCGGAGTGCTGTGGCACGGGAGCTACAGCCTCTAGACGCGGACAAGAACAGGCCGGCACGAGGTCAGAGTGCTGGGGGTGGGAGCTACAGCCTCTAGACACGCGGACGAGAACAGGCCGGCACGAGGTCAGAGTACTGGGGCGTGGGAGCTACAGCCTCTAGACGCGGACGAGAACAGGCCGGCACGAGGATCCTAGTGCTGGGGATGGGAGCTACAGCCTCTAGACATGGACGAGAACAGGCCAGCACGAGGTCAGAGACCAAGCTCATCCCTCCCCGGTGCTGCACTGCACACAGCTGGGAGTCTGGGCCCCTGCCCAGCAGGCCTACATGTCTGCCACCCAGGCCTGGTGTCCTGGCAGCCAGCATCACCTGTCTCAGCACCATGTAAAAATGAAGGGCTGCAAATGACCTGAGCAAAATGAGGCACAAAATTGGATAAGGGAATCCCTACTGAGGAAAAGAAACGAGTCTTTCTAAGGAAAATGGAAAACCACTGATGCTTTCTGAAATGACAAGCAGTGGTGCAAAAAAAACCCACTTCCATGGCAACAAGTTCTGGTGGCCCAAGCAAGGGACACTGGAGTTCCACAGTCTTCACTCCCTAGCGGCACCAACTTCGGCTGAACTTGACCTGACCTTGACCTCACCCCAGATTCTTTCTTCACTGTGCTTGTCAGAGCCCAGTGGGGTGGCAGGGGAGGCAGAAACGGGTGCCTTGGTCCCTGCTCCCCGGGCACATCTGACTGTACTTCCTCTGCTAAAAGATGTCCCTGGCACAAGGCGTGGCGCGGACTCGGCAGAGGTCTTCATTACAGGTGTGCAATCAAAAGGACGATGATGGAGCAGTTTTCTCCGGGCTGCGACGTCAGACGCCTCTCTCGGACCTGCGGGAAACACCGTGCCCCGGGCCGGGCATCTGGCACAGCGGTTAAATCACCACAGGCTCTGTCTCCTACCCAGCTTCCTGCTGATGTGCACTGTGGGAGGCCGCAGTGAGGGCTCCAGTCCTAGGGTCCCTGCCACCCACGCAGGAGACCAAGGTGGAGTCTGGCGTCAACCAGCGGATGGGATATCTTCCTCCAGCTCTGTCTCCCGCCTCTCTAATAAACACAAACACACTGAAACCACAACAGAATCCAACACAGAAAGGCATGCTGTCCAGGACACAGCTGCTGGGCAGCCCAGCTGGGCTATCCCAGGGAGGACGCAGAGCGTGCGGACGGAAGGGGTCTTTCTGAAGGATCCGCAGAAGCTCAACAGCAGCGGCAAACCCACAGCTCCCTTGTCTGCTGGAGTCGGTGCCAGCGAGGACACACCCCTCAACTGCCGGCCGCAGTGCTGAATTTTCCCGTACGGGGAGTGCTGGGCACGGGCAATGGTCTGGCCACGCTGTGGGCCGGGGAGCAGAGCACCAGGATGTTCTGGCTAAGTCGTGGGGCAGGTGAAGACTTGGGGCCTCCTCACTCACTCCTGGGCCTGCAGGTAAGGCAACACTGAGCCTGCGTGTGTGAGCCGCGAGCCGGGGGGTCCAGAGAAGCAAGGGGGGGTCCAGCAGCACAAGCACTGGCCCAGCAGCCCCTCGATCTCCTGCATTCAAGCTGCTGGGGCCTCTTGCATGGCAAGACAGCAAGCACCTGCTCCCCTAGGGGAACCGGAAGTCTCAAGGAGAGAAGTGGACATGCATGTGGCAGCTGCTGCGAGGGCAGAGCCAGCTAACAGGTTAGCAGGGCCAGAGGCACGGAGAGCCGGCGCGCCATAGGAGACACAGCACCACCTGCAGGAAAGCCGGAGCACAGCATCCCAGCCACGGGGTTGGTGAGCACAAAGCCCCAGGCCAGCAGGCTCCCCATGCCCATGGGACCGCGGCCAGAAGACGGGCACCAGGCAGAGGCCAGTGACGAGGGAGGCTTGCAGGGCACCAGGAAGGGCTGGACTGGACTGAACTCCACGTGGCGGCGGCGTGGAAGCGCTCAGGCACCGTCAGACATTCGTCTCCTGACAGAGCCTGAGGGAGGCTGCTGGAGGTGCAGCGAGGGGCGGGGACCCTGTGCTCTGGAGCCAGGCAGGTGCTCCAGGGCACCATGTGAGGAAGCAGCCCCGCCGGCTCGCCTGAGATGCTGCCACCCAAAGCTGGCAGTGGCCCAGGAGCCTAGCTATCATGTTTCATAACCGCAACACCAGACAGCAGGCTCCATGTCTGAGGCGGGACGAACCCCGTCCATGTTTCCAGGGAGGTTGGCTGAGCTTCCGCCTCACTCTGCCAGGGAGGGCTTGGCACAGGCCAGCTCCCCGGGGGCCCTCTCGGTCACCCATCATCTGTGGTGGATGCAGAAGGGACCTCCAGGTAGGCCCTCCCCTCGCCAAGACAGGGACAGGCACTGAGGAGTTTCTCCCCGCAGAACCCCAGGTCCCAGAGGCCCCAGGCAGGGTTCAGGCTGCCTGAGGTGAGCTCAGGCCAGCTCCCAGAAACCACTGTCAGCCCCTACACCTTTCCAAGGCCCTGCGGCCCAGTGACACACAGCAGCTGAGCACAACTGGCCTAAGCGCCTCTTGTTCTGTTAAAAAAATAAAAATAAAATCCTCTCTGCCCAGAGCAGAGACTCTTCAAATCGGACTAGAGAGGAGCTGCTTGCTGGCTTAGCCCAGCACTGCCGGGCAGTACGTGGCTTCAGCTGTGATGGTGATGTCGGTGAGCGAGGGCGTAGACGATTCGCTGTGGTGTGTGCTGCCCGTGTGTCTTCTGGACTCTGAGCGGCTGTTCTGGTCCAGGGGGACACCTGTGCTCGTGAATCTGCTGGCAGGGGCAAGGCACATCACGGGGCGAACAGTTCTTCCTGAAAGCTCAGTGCTTTTTTGACGGTCTTGGCACGGAGACCTGGATCCCTGGTGGGTGGCTACAGAACCCACGGCAGCCCACCCCACTCCTAAGTCTGCTTCTTAGCCGTGGTCAAGTCTTTTAACCGCTTGATCTGGGAAACAGGCATAAGACCCAGCAGCCGCCCATCCAACCATTATTCACTGCAGCGCTGAGGCCAGGCCTGGAGGGCTGTGAGGCCTGAGTGTATGCACATGCCGATGGGGCCGCATCTGGGCCTGGCTGCACCACGAAGCTGTGTCCCCACACGTCAGGCCCGGGGCCCTCTGTCCAGTGCCACCCTCTCAGGAGGCTATGGAAACAGAGCAAATCAGTAAGATCATGGTTTAGAAGGACTACTTTACATGTCAGGTAGGGGCTCAGGGCTACAACCCGGGCTTAAGCAGGCTGCTGTAAGCCACGGGTGGGTGGGCAAGCGAGCACGGAGCAGCCTCTGGCCCATGTCCACCTGCTGCTCAAATGCCAAACGCAGTGCAGAAGCCGCTGGCGTTGCCGACTCCCCCGCTCCAATGAACAGGCACTGCCTGGTGAAGCCGCAGTCCATCCTGAGCGTCTCACTTAACTCCTGCTTGTTTTTTAGTCTCATGTTTCTATATGGATGCGATTTAAAAACCAACTGAAAAGGGAGGAGCCAAGGGAGGATGTGCTGTGATCGGTGCCTCAAGGGCAGGAGAGTCCTGTGGGCTCCACCCACAGCCAGGGCGTTGCTTGGCAACATAATGACTACACAGCTGTAGGACCCAGTGAATAACATCGTGTATTTTTCTTTTTTTTCTTTTTTTTTTTTTTCTTTTTGACAGGCAGAATTAGACAGTGAGATAGAGAGACAGAAAGGTCTTCCTTTTCTGTTGGTTCACCCCCCAAATGGCTGCTGTGGCCGGCGCTGTGCTGATCCGAAGCCAGGAGCCAGGTGCTTCCTCCTGGTCTCCCATGAGGTGCAGGGCCCAAGGACCTGGGCCATCCTCCACTGCCTTCCTGGGCCACAGCAGAGAGCTGGCCTGGAAGAGGAACAACTGGGAGAGAATCCGGTGCCCCAACCGGGACTAGAACCCGGGGTGCTGGCACCACAGGAGGATTAGCCTAGTGAGCCGCGGCGCCGGCCTAACATCGTGTATTAACCAGAGTGAGTGGGGCCACCGCAGAGGGTGGAGCGCCCTGCACTCTGCCTCTCCAGCTCCCTGGTGGGTATTTCCCACAGCATGCCAGGCAGAGCACGGACAAGCCCCGAGAGTGTGGCCAGATCAGACGCCCTGAGCTGCGTGTCATCAGGCGGCATACACTGGCACTGTAGGGTGGGGTGGTTTTCCCTGCTACAAATGTAGGCTCATGCTGCCTGAGCTGCAGAGGACGCTGGCCCAGGACCCCGCAAGGGACGCTGGCCCAGGACCCTGCCAGGGAGCCAGCGGAGAGTTTGTTCTCAGAGCACATCAGGCAGAAGCTGACCTCCTTCAATGCTTCAATGCTGCCATTTCTCTTCCTGGACATATTTTTGTGAAAGATTTTAACTATTTATTTGAAATATAGAGTGACAGAGAGGGAGGGAGAGAGGTCTTCCATCTGCTGGTCCACTCCCCAAATGGCCACAACGGCCGGGGCTAGGCCAGGAGCCAGAGCCCCATCCAGGGCTCCCGTGTGGGTGGCAGGGACTCAGGCACCTGAGGCTCCACCCACTGCTCTCCCAGGCGCATTACAGGGAGCTGGGTCGGCAGTGGGGCCTGCACCAGCACTCCAGGACTCAGCGCTGGCGTCCCAAGCAGCAGCTTAATAACCCGCTAGCCACGGCGCCTGCCCCGCCAACTCTGTTTCTAAGTGGCCCACGCTGTCCCAAGCCAAAGGCGGCCAGGCTGTGAGCTGCCCGTTGTAAACGTGAGCTTGCGCGCTGGGGAAAGGACCCGCACGGCCAGGAGCCCTGCCAGGCCTGCGCCTCTGCCGCGTCCCCGCCCCGTCAACGCTGCAGCGCGGTCTCATCACTCATTCTGTCATTCCCATGTGCTCCCACGGCGGTGTTCACAGAAGAGAGTCACACTGAACACAAGTAAGTGCCGCCCGTGTGACTCTGTGTGCCACTGTCTCTCGCTGCCCACCAGGGGGCAGTTCCTCTCCACTTTCTGCCCACACAGCCTTTCCTTACTGCCACAGGGGGGCCTGTGCAGGCACCTGGGCTCAACACTGCCCGGCCTGGAGCAGCTGCCCCCGACTCGGGGAGCGCCCTGCCTGCGGGCCCACCTGTGCAGGCCAGGGAGCACAGCCAGCCCCAGCTGTCCCTCCCCTCCTGCCAGATCCTCGCCCCTGCTCGAACCCAGAATGCCTGTGGACAGCACGCTGCCAGGCACTCCGGCTCCACCCAGCTTAACTGACTTATCAAAGGGGCAGGCATGCCTTGGGCCCAGAGCTGGACTGGCAGGGCCTCTTCCAGGCTTGCAGGTCCTGTGTCTGCAGTGTCCACAGGCCAGCTCACTCAAGAACCTAAGCCTTCCTTGACCCTGGCGGGCGCCAGCCCCTAACCTGCAAGTGAAGCCCAGGAGGCCCAACTCTGGACCCTGAGTGGCCGAGCCTGGCTACGGTGCCTACCCTTCCTCAGGTGTGACAAGCAGAGACCCTCCTGGGGAGGGGCTACAGATGGGGCTGCCACCCTCCAGGAAACCCACCATGGAAGGTGTCCTGGCCCCACACAGGACGGAAGCTGAGCCCACGGCGGCAGCCACTTTTCAGATCTCCTCCCAGTCCCCAGGGACACCCCAAGCTCAGAGTAACTGCCAGCACCCTCAGGTGGCCTGGACAACCCACCAGCAGCTGTGAGGGAATCCCCACCTGTCGATGAGGGCAGCCGCCAGAGGGAAGGACCAAGACCCCAGAGGAGGGGGCACTGCCTGCCTTGGGCTCATGTCCCTCAGGTGGTGCCTGGGGAAGGGAGAGAACCCAGGGCCTGGCTAGGCAGTATGAGGCTCGGCATCTGTCCGAACATCTGGGGAGCCGGGTCCCCAACCCCAGCAGCCCTGCCTCAACAGGTTTTGAAGAGGGGTTTGGGGCCCCTCTTCTGGGAACACTGCTCTCACTGGTCAGCTACTGCTCTCCAGAGACGCCCCGTGCTCACGTGCTCACCGCAAGTGGCCAGCAGGAGACGCAGGGGGTCAGGACCCTTCCTCTTGTCCATGACCCTTCCCGGAGGCTGTCACCCAGTGTCCCCCAAGGCCGTGATGTCACCTCCGTGCCACTCCAAGTCTCCAGGGCTCAGCCCCTTGCGTAGGAGGGGAGGAGCCATCTGAGGAATGCACTCACGGAGGGGAAGATGACAGCACCTCCTGCGGGAGGCCCTTCCAGAACATTCGGGTGGACGAGCGTGGAAGGCGAGAGAAGCACACCTTCTCCTCCCCTCTGCGGAGGCTGGCTCCCCAAGGGCAGCAGGATGGACGCAGCTGCAGTCTGGGGACAGCACAGCGTGACCCAGGCCCCAGGAGGCAGCTGCCCTGTGTCTGGGTGTGGCCCTAGCCCTGTGCGGGCGCAGGGCGCAGAGACCGTCCCCAGGCAGGCGAGGCTCCCTGGGCACTCTGCCCACTCCCCTGGGCTGTGCACACGCACTGCAGCCCCAGGTCTTCCCCGGCCCTGCCACGCGCCCCAGTGAGGCCGCTGCTCTCCGGCAGATAAGGCCCACGCCACCAGGGAGCCCCAGGCGAGCAAGGGCCCCCACACAGCGATGCCCGGGAAGCCGAACCTTTCCTTGCTGGGCAAGTTACTGGCCGTCCCCCGGGCATTTGGCTGACTTCCTCAAACCCTGAGCGCTCCAGGGCTTCCACCTGGTAAGATGAGGCGGCCCCAGCACACGGCCCCTCCGTCCCTTTGCCAAAGTCAGGGGGTCACTGGCTCCGGTGGCTGGTGGATTGCAGGAATCCCGTTTTCCTGGGAACAGGGCGTCCTCCTGCCCTGGCTTCCGGCCTTATTCCATTGAGCCCCCCCTGCCCGGGGCTCAGGTGCGTGGCGGGTGTGGTGTGCTCTGCTGCTCTCCTCCTGCTCCTCCTCCATGCCCCACCCTGGCATGGCAGACCACGCCCACTCCGGTGTGGCCTGGGCGTGTCTGCCCCTTCCCTGGGGACCGGGCAGTGACCGTTTTCTCTGTTGTTGCCCTTGCAGAAGCCCAGAGGTCATGAGCACCGTCTCAGGTACACGGAGCACGACGGTCACCTTCACTGTCCGCCCCGGCACCTCCCAGCCCATCACCCTGCAGAGCCGGCCCCCCGACTACGAAAGCAGGACCTCAGGAACGAGACGTGCCCCCAGCCCTGTGGTCTCGCCGACGGAGCTCACCAAGGAGATCCTGCCCGCTCCCCCGTCTGCTGCCGCCGCATCCCCTTCCCCCACGCTCTCCGACGTCTTTAGCCTTCCAAGCCAGCCGCCTTCCGGGGACCTGTTTGGCTTGAACCCAGCGGGACGCAGCAGGTCGCCATCTCCCTCGATACTGCAACAGCCAATCTCAAATAAGCCTTTTACAACTAAGCCTGTCCACCTGTGGACTAAACCAGACGTGGCGGACTGGCTGGAGAGCCTCAACCTGGGCGAGCACAAGGAGACCTTCATGGACAACGAGATCGACGGCAGCCACCTGCCCAACCTGCAGAAGGAGGACCTGATCGACCTGGGCGTGACGCGCGTGGGCCACAGGATGAACATCGAGAGGGCTCTGAAGCAGCTGCTGGACAGATAAGGGTGGCCGCGCCGCGCCTCCACGGACCACTTCCTGTTATAAGTAGAGATGGGCTTACCCCGAGAGCGTGGCCGGCCAAGCGCCAACCCCGTCCCGTGGGTCTTCTCCTGGCACCCAAAGAAACGCTGACAGTGTCCACCGCGTGGCTCTCTGTGGGTTTCTCGGGCAGTTTCTGTCAGCAGGGACAAGGGGAGAGTTTTTCTAACGTGGGAAAGTTCCCAGCCTGCCTCCCAGCCCGAGGGGCGTCCCGTGGGGGTCTGCACGGGTCCTTGATCCTGCAGGCAGACGCCCACATCTCCAGATACCTCCTGAGGCCTCCCCTCCGCACTCCGGGCAGCTGTCCCCCAGGTCCCACCAGAGGCCTGCCCTGGGTCTGTGTCCCCCAGAGGAAGTGCCCCTCGCTCCTGAACTCTGCTTGCAGAGGTGCTCCCGGCAGCCCCTCCTGCCCAGGCCTGGCCATGAGGTCTGGGCAGTGGGGGGTCTGGAGGGGATCGTGCTCAGCTTTGCTTGGCTTGCTTTCTTTCTGCAAACCCATCAGGGTAATTCCAAGGTGGGCCAACATGTCACACGGAGTCAGTCAAAGCACAAAGTCACGATCCAGGAAGCAGGGCGCCCTGGCCAAGTGGGCCCAAGGCCCCAGGACGAGAGCTGTGGTCTGCCGGGAGCATCCATCCAGGGTGGACACGGCCTCACGGAGGTCTGCAGACACCCACTCTGAGACGCAAGGCAGAAGACACCCGGTGCTCAGCAGGCCTGCACTGCCAGCAGGCCGGACGGGGCCTCCGGGGAGCTGGGGAACGCCGTGACCACCACCGTGAGCCCGGCTTGGTTGAGCGCCTCCGCTCAGAGGCCAGGGAAGACGGTACTTAGGGGCTTGCCGCCATCCCCTCTGGGTGTCCAGGAACCCCACCAGCTTGTCTTAACAGTACCACAGGGTCTTGGAGGGCCCATGGGCATGGAGCGTAGAGCAGACCCGGCGCTGAAGACAGAGGCTGCGGGGTCAGGGTGACACGCAGGGGCGTGAAGAACCGAAGGCAGGGAGCCCGCCCCTCGTCCCCTGTAACAATACCTCTAGTGTCCGAGGGGGGTCACGGGCTGCGCGTGGGCCGCAGAACACCCAGTCAGGCTTCCAGCACATTCTCCCACACTTGGAGAAGACGCAAATGTCAGCTGTTTGGTTTTGTTATGATTTCAGAACTAGCCCAGCCCATCTCTAATTATAAAACGTGATTTTTTTTTCCCTTTATGCTCACGGCCAAGTGTCTGATCAGGTCTGGAACTGCTCTAGAATGAACACATAAAATTTAGCAATTTAAAGTCTTTCTTTACTGCAAGTTTAGATAGTTGTACAGATAGTTTATAAGCACAATATTTTAAGAAAAAAAAAGTGGCTGGTCTACCAGGCAGCCTTTGTGCCACTTCAGTGCTAGAAAGTTAAAGAAAAACAAACCTTTTGTGATTTAATAACACCATTTCTGTGGAAGAATTCTACAAGTCTGACCTTTTTAAATCAACATTCTCTGGATGCATCTGAACCAGCAGAGCTGTGTCGCATTTTCTATCTTTGCTAGAACTTCCTCACTCAAGGACAGCTAACTCTTAAAGCGGTTACAATTCCTAAGGAACACACGCACCCGCCCTCGGGGCGGAGGCTGCAGCCTGGGACAGCCCGTGTCCCCAGCCTCCCCCGACCCGGTCCCCCGAACGCGCCAGTGCTGGGGCGCCGGGCATCCACGCCCCTCCCTCCACAGCCGCTCTAGAGCAAGTTCACGCCCAGACGCAAGGGCGGCCCACGGGAACTGCGAATCGGTGGTTCGGCCATTAATTTGTCTTCCATTCAGTGGTTTTGCAAAATGTAGTCAGCCCAGCCCCTCCCCCTGGCTCCACTCTCCTTCCCCAACGTTGGTCTTTGCGAGACGCTCAGTGCCAGGCCAGAGGCTCGAGAGGAGGAGGGGCCGAGACCCACAGCGCGGGGAGCTCGGGTGGGCTTTGGCAGTGGCTGCTCCCCCCTCCTCCTAAAGGGACTCCCAGCCACGTGCCACTGACCAGGTGCAAGCTGAGGAGCGAGTTTGTTTTCCCCGTGACTAAGGAGGGAGAAGCAGTGGGACCCACCAGAGCCTGCACTGACCAAACCCACACACAGTGCCGAGCGGAAGCCGCCGCCAGCTCTGTCGGAGATCTCGCCACAGAGAGCAATAGATCCTCACACACACACCCTACCGCCACTGTCCTCCCGGGGACACGTCAGGCCCAGGCCCTACCCACAACCCCACACGGTGGGACAAACTGCTCATCTTGCTGTCCCTCCAGGTTTTAAGATCCACTTCTGTTCTATACTGTAATTTAACCAGACTGCATTTCCACGCCTAGTTTCTGTACCATTATGTATACAAAACCAAAACCTCCCGAGTGCGCCGCCCCCACTCCCCGACCGGCGCGTGCACACTTTAAGTTAACTCACGGAACACGAAACTGACTCGATGTGACTGCTGATCTGCTGACCCTCCCAGTATCGCAGGGTGGACACCGAGGTCCTCTGCTGACGGAACGGTGACCCTGTCCCCCGAGTCACAGGACGCAGCACTGCCCAGCTGACCTGGCAATGGCTTTTTGTGTGTGGGCCACAATACTGATTTTCCCATTACGGTTTTTTGTTTTTAAATACTAACATGTTTCACACTATAGTTTGTGTAACAACATGTGTTCCCAATATCTATATTCTTGTTACTTTTGTGCTTTTATTCTTTTTAGACTTTATTAAAAAAAAAAAAAAAGCTCCTGTAATTTGCACTCTCTCCCAATCCTTCAATCTCTTGTATGGCAACCAAAATTACTGTAAAAAAATAAATATACTATTGCACTACCGGTGTGGCTCTGACTGCAAACGCTGAGCACTCTGGGAACGCGGCACCCGGAGCGCGGGAAGCCTGCGAGCGCGCGCGGGCTGCGCGAGGCCTGCGGGCAGCTCTACCTCTCCAGAACTCACCGCCCGCGCGGGGGAGGCTCTCCCGGGCCCCTTGCCTTGCCTGGCGTTTCTCTCGCCTGGGGGACGGAGCCAGCTTCAAACCTTTCACCCTCGGAATCTAGGCCCCCGTGCCGCGCCCCAGCTGGCTGCTGCGGGCACCAAGGCGTGGGCTCCCCCTGCCACCCTGGGGAAGCACACTTCAAACTTAAAAGCTGGGCCTCTTCTTTGGCCTCGCTCCGGCTCCTCACGGCTTCTGCCGGGGCAGATTCTCCACGCGATGGCAGCCACGTTTGCACACTCACGAGAAATCCGATTCCTCCCGAGTGCAGCCCCCCCAGCCCTCCTGCCCCACCACCCAGGGCCGTCTCCCGGGCGCAACCTTCCCCAGCCCCACTGCCCCGGCTTCTCTCGGACGTTTTCCTGAGATGAATCGGCGCCTGTCCTGCCGGGGCCGAGGTGGTGCGCAGCGGGTGAGCCGCACTGGGGCTGCACACCCGGCAGGCGGGAGCCCGCCGGGGCTGGGGCGCAGGAGGCCCATGCTCGCGGGCAGTGGGGATCGCCACGCCTCTGCCAGCCTGCGGCAGATCTGCTGGCTCCGGCTTCCAATCCAGGCCGCCCCTTCCTGTCCCTGTAACTCGTTTCTACCTTTCGGTCCCTGCCGTTTCGTGTCCATGATCAGGACACTCTCTGTCCACTGCTTCTACTCTGGAACTCTTTGTCACAGCAATTCTGAACCTTTAATATGAGCCTTCAAATAAACAGAAAAGAAAAAAAAGGAAAGAAACCAAGTGTGTGCCTTGGGTGTTTTGCGCCACGCTGTACTGAAACGCTGTATGCTGGACGCACGGGTACCTGTGTCCCTGTATCGATGTAGCTGACCAGTCACAGTGCCTTGTTTTCTGGACTGAGACGCCAACACCGAGGCACAGCCTGAAGAGAAACGAGGACTGGGCCATGAACTGTGGGGCCTGGAGGAGCGGCCGGAGCCCTGCTCACCAGGCTGTGACAGTCGCTGACGTTCAAGAAATAAAACTAAACAAACTGAAATGCGATCGTGTCATCAGTTAATTCCCCCCCGAGTGTATCTGGTTAAACGCAGAACGTGGCTCAGGACGGTCACAGGCAGGGAGACGTCTGGGCCCTCCCTCCGTGTTGTGTCGCCCCCTGGGGGTGGCCGCTGGCGGTGCCCGAGGTCAGCAGTGGCCAGCCCTCTCCCCCACGGCACACACAACGCCACTTCCGTTTGAGGAAGGCGCAGGGCGGCGACGCGTCTGCGCCCCCTTAAGAGAAGGAGGCCACAAGGGCACCGGGATCCCGACTCACGCGGGGCGCTGCGCTCCCGCCCCGAGCAGCGGCCGCGACCTGCACCCTGCGGCAGAGCCAGGCCTCGAGCTGTCCGGTCCCGACTGTGCGGCCCACACGCCGCCCGCGTGTCTCGCGTCGGGAGGGCGGGGCTTCCCGGGGCTCCACCCCGAGCCTGACCGCTGGGGGAGGCCGGGGACGGGTTCCCACACGAAGTGTGCAGACGGTGCGTCTGCGCCCACCCGGAGCCTTCCGTGGCCAGGATGCGGACGCACCCTCCCAGCCCCAGCCCTGCAGCAGGGGGCGACCCCAGCCCAAGGCCGCCGCGACGCCGCCCCGCAAGGACACGGTTCCTGTGGGCGGGGCACTCACAGGGGCCCGGACGGCACGGCCGGGCTCCGGGGGCTCCGGCTGCGGTGCCCTGACGGCTGCGGCCACGTCCGCATCGCCCAGGGCCAGGAGGCAACCCCCGCCAGCCACCTCGGGGTGCGGGGGGGGGGCTTTATTTGGAGGCAACCTGGGGACCTCGTGGGTCAGAGAAACCAGGCTAAGACCCAGGTTTTCAGAGACAGGCCCGCCGTCCGCGAGGGCCCCATGGTGGCTTTAATCCCCGCAGGAACCCGCGTGGCCCGGGGGTCACCCCCCCACACAGTCAGGAGCCCCCGCACAGTCCCCGCCCCGGCCCGGCTGCTCTCGCCCACCGCCCACCGCCCCCCCAAGGCCACGCAGACACCAGGGAGACCCCGGGCCCGGGGTCACCCCCACACACGGCCAGGAGCCCCCGCACAGCCCCCGCCCCCGGCCCCGGCCTGGCTGCTCTCGCCCACCGCCCCCCCAAGGCCACGCAGACACCAGGGAGACCCGGGCCCGGGGGTCACCCCCACACACAGCCAGGAGCCCCCGCCCCGGCCCGGCTGCTCTCGCCCACCGCCCACTGCCCCCGCCAAGGCCACGCAGACACCAGGGAGACCCGGGCCCGGAGGTCACTCCACACACAGCCAGGAGCCCCCGCACAGTCCCCGCCCCGGCCCGGCTGCTCTCGCCCACCGCCCCCCCCCCAAGGCCACGCAGACACCAGGGAGACCCGGGCCCGGGGTCACCCCCACACACAGCCAGGAGCCCCCGCACAGCCCCCGGCCCCGGCCCGGCTGCTCTCGCCCACCGCCCCTCCCAGGAAGGCCACGCAGACACCAGGGAGACCCGGGCCCGGGGGTCACCCCCACACACAGCCAGGAGCCCCCGCACAGCCCCCGCCCCCGGCCCGGCTGCTCTCGCCCACCGCCCCTCCCAGGAAGGCCACGCAGACACCAGGGAGACCCGGGCCCGGGGGTCACCCCACACACAGCCAGGAGCCCCCGCACAGCCCCCGCCCCCGGCCCGGCTGCTCTCGCCCACCGCCCCTCCCAGGAAGGCCACGCAGACACCAGGGAGACCCGGGCCCGGGGGTCACCCCCACACACAGCCAGGAGCCCCCGCACAGCCCCCGGCCCCGGCCCCGGCCTGGCTGCTCTCGCCCACCGCCCCTCCCAGGAAGGCCACGCAGACACCAGGGAGACCCGGGCCCGGGGGTCACCCCACACACAGCCAGGAGCCCCCGCACAGCCCCCGCCCCCGGCCCGGCTGCTCTCGCCCACCGCCCCTCCCAGGAGGGCCACGCAGACACCAGGGAGACCCGGGCCCGGGGGTCACCCCCACACACAGCCAGGAGCCCCCGCACAGCCCCCGCCCCCCGCCTGGCTGCTCTCGCCCACTGCCCCCCCAAGGCCATGCAGACACCAGGGAGACCCCGGGCCCGGGGTCACCCCTACACAGGCAGCAGCCCCCGCACAGCCCCCGGCCCCGGCCCGGCTGCTCTCGCCCACCGCCCCTCCCAGGAAGGCCACGCAGACACCAGGGAGACCCGGGCCCGGGGGTCACAGAACCCGCGTCCCCTGCACACAGGCCAGGCTGAGCGCCACGGGGGAGCCACGCGGCGCGTCCTCGCCGGGCGGAGCCGCACCCGCTCCACCTGCGCCCCGCGCACCTCGCGGCCTCGCCCGTCCGCGGCACTGCTCGCCGGAGCCCCTGCAGGCCGTCGGCACCGCCAGGCAGCGCTGGCTCGGCCACGACCCTGCTGGACTCGGAAAGTTCTGGACTCCCGGAGCACAGAGCTCCGCCCGCCCCCCACCACATGCCGCGCCCGGGCTGACCCCAGCCCACCTGAGGAAGCTCCCGGCGCCAGCAGGGCCGCCCGCGAGGACCCGGCCCGCCCCCGCGCCGCCGCCTCGCCGCTTCTCACCTGAGCCGGTAAGTGCCGGGTAGGTGCGCCCTCCTTCCCGCCGGCCCGCGCTCCCCGCCAGGGCCGCGAGGACACGCGCCGAGGCTGGGCCCGCTCGCGGGGATGGCGGGCAGGGCGCGGCGCGGAGCGGAGCCGGGCCCTCGGCGCCCGCCCTCAGCGCGGCCCCCATTCCCGCCTGCCGCCGCCTCACGCGTGAGGGAGACGCGCAGAGCATGCTGGGCCCAACCCTTCACGTGCCCTGTGTGGACCAATCACTGGCAAACGGCGTGGGCTCGTGATTGGCTCAGCTGCAGTGGGCGGGGCAGCTTGCAGCCAATGCGTGGGCTGTTGGGCCAGCCGCACGCCACGCGGCGCAGCGCAGGTGCATGCTGGGAGCTGGGGGCACAGGCGTCCCGGGGAGGGGACGCGGCCCTCCCTCCCGCTGGGGTGCGCCTGTCTGAGGCTCGTTTTTCTTATCGTTACAGTTGTGGGTTTCAACATCCCCCGAAGGCGCTGGGTGCGCAGTGCGAAGCTGCGGGATTGCCTGGAGCCGCGGCCCGGCCCGCCCACCCCGCGCTCCCGTCCACGCGCGCTCCCGGGCTCAGAGCCGCCGGGCCGGACCCCGCGGGCACTGCCGGAACGAGGCGAGGGGCGCACCAGCGGGCAGCCTGGCTTAGACAAGGGCCGGTCCATCTCGAAGCTGCCCACTCGGGGAGGCCGGGGTCCGTCTGACCGCTCCCCAGCCTCGCGTCCGAGACGCCCGGGGTGTCCCCTCACACTGCATACCTCACAGCACTCAAAGGCTGCTGCCACTCCGCACATCGCATTTTCTCACAGAGCAGGAGGAAAGGGCAGAACCCTGACAGCCACGTGGGTCTCCTTGAACGGAGAGGCCAGCGCTCCCCCAGGGGTGTTCACCAACATGTCAGCAGCCACTGCGGGGTCCACGGTCACCCCTGGATGTAAGGGGCACCGGAAACAAAATGGGGGTCGTGTTAGCAGGCAGAGGGCCGTGGGCGGCACGGCCACGGGAGAGTCCTTGCCGAGCAAGGGGACAGTCCAGTGGCATTCGCCGTCGCCAGCTCATCCAGGTGGAAACCCGGGACCCCTCCGCGGCCCCTCCCCCGCCCTTAGCGTCCCCATGCGTTTGCCTCTGTGGGCGCGGTCCCGAGGTCCCCCGTGTTGTAGCCTGCGCGGTGGCACCCCACCGCGGGATGGGCCGTCTCAGCGGTGGACACAGGGCCTCCGGGCTTCGGGCTGCTGCTGCTGTGGGCGCCTTTTTCCTGAGCGCCGTCTTCGGTTCGTTGGGGCCCGCACCAGATCAAGCCGCTGGGTCCGGGA